GGGTTTGATTCCCCACTCCTCCACTTGCAGCTGCTGGATGACCTTGGGCAAGCCATAGTTCTATCCGAGCTGTCCTTGAAAAAGAGAAGTTTCTGTCAGAGCTCTCTCAGCCCCACCTACCTCAGAGGGCATCTGTTGTGGGGAGGGGAGGGAAAGGAGATTATAAACCGCTCTGAGACTCCAAGTGAAGGACGGGGTATAAATCCAATCACCTCCTCCTCCGTCTCTTTCAAGGGGGAATGGCCAGAGGGACTGGGGTTCCCACAAGCTGTTTTATTTATAGAGGTGGAAAGATAATACGGGGCGGGTTTGGGAAAGGGAAGTGTGGTTTGTGGGGGAAGAAGCTTTTTAAGTGATCAAGCGGGGGCCCGCTTCCTGGAGCAGCCGTCTGGCCACAGTTGAAAGAGGACCGCCGGACGAGACGGACCCTCGACCTGATCGGCCAAGGCTCATTTTCCATGGCGGCGGGGGGGGGATTCTTCCCTTCTGAGCCACTTTGGGCCCTGTGCCACCCAGCTAAAGTGTTGAGTGAGTGGAAACAAGGGGGATTTATTCAGTGAGGCACACTTTAAATGGCGGCGGGGGGGGGATTCTTCCCTTCTGAGCCACTTTGGGCCCTGTGCCACCCAGCTAAAGTGTTGAGTGAGTGGAAACAAGGGGGATTTATTCAGTGAGGCACACTTCTCGCACCCTTTTGTGGCTTTGAATTGTGGCTGCTCTCTTCACCCCACCTCCACTTAGCACCTGTACAGCTTTGCACGCATCAGCCCCGGGGGGGGGCCTTCCGTCACGACCACCTCGCTCCCAAGGGCCGCTCCAAAGCGCATCACCGCGCTCGGCCAAGGGCCGTCATCAGCCATGCCAGTCTCTGCCGCAAGCCCTGCAATTTCTGGCGGCGCTATAATTAGAGAGTGTCTTTTTGGCCTCTCCACATGTGTTCTGGGCCGCGGCGGCGAGCATGAAAAGGAGCCTTTCGACAGCCGTTTCAATTCAAAGCTAGTTTTCAAAAATCTCAGCAGGCCAGGCGTGCAGCAGTTCTACCGCCGGGCTGGATGTCGTCAAAAGTCCCGATGCCGCAGTTTGGAGCTGCGGGGGGGGAGGGGGGGGGTGTCCCCTACCTTCTAAATAAAATGTATAACCTGCCCTGTTCGGCAAGGGACTGGGGAAGAGAACAAAAGCTGCAGCTGCTTTTAAGGAAGCACAGCGCTCGATATCCATTGCCGTCGCTCAGGGGTCTCTGACGTGGTGCCCGTGGGCCCCCGGGCCCCCACCGACACTTCTTTGGTGCCCGCCGAGTGTTTTTAGGAAAGGAAGGGGCCGAACGTAAGCTGTAGCAGCCGTCTTGTGGCTGTGTATACCATACTTGCGTCAGAATTCCAGAAGCGCCCGCAGGCTCAGAAAAGTTGGGGAGCCCTGTGGGGTGCGGGCAGAGCAACAGTTAACCCTTCCTATGCTGGAGCCCGCAGCCAATAAATTCAGTCTTGAGATGGTCCTGCGAGGCCACAGATCTCCTCCACAGAGGAGTCGGATGACGTATCTCTGCCCGATCGATTGCCTCCGTCTGGCCCTCGTTCCAAGCAGCCCCTGCTGCCTCCTGCATCTCGGTGCGACTGGCTCCGTCAGTCTCTTTCGAAGCAGGGAGGGGGCGCCCACCCCTTGTGTCAAAACTCCAAAGCTGCCCGCAGGTTCGAGAGTGTGGGGACCCCTGGCTTACCTGCAGGGGTCGTTTCATAGAAAAAGAGCTAGGGGAACTCATTAGCATAACTCATTAGCATATGCCACACACCCTGACATCACCGGACGTGTGTCATAAGGCCACACCCCCTGACATCGCCGGAAGTTGTCATAAGGCCACACACCCCACCCCCAACGGTCCCGGCCGCCGCCGCCGGCCTTGCACCTCCACTGCCGAGCCCCATGAGGGGCCCGGCGGTGGAC